AGGCGTCCAGTCACAGATAGATGAACTAATGGTAACCCTGAGCGTAAAGCAGTGAAGGCTGGGATTACATTGATATTAATAATGATGTATGCTGATGTCTTGAGTGGTTAGCTTTCTGATTGGCTGTATAATGAGACAAAATCTCACATGAAGAAGTAAGCTAGGAGTTTATAGTAGTAGAGTATTATAGTGAGAGGAAATGGTAGCCTGTCTCGAGGGTGTGATGTTAACACTGTATATAAACACAGGCACAGTACAAGTGTAGTATATAAAACACCAATGCGTGTTACAGCTTTATTTTACTAGTTCAATAGGGGGAATTAATGGGGGGGTTCGTACACAATTTATGATAGACTATGGTAATCCCGTATGACCTAACCTCACAATTAGAATGGGCACTTCACTAAGTCGATCGTTGGGGAGGTTCGGGATCACCGCACTTCTACCGTCTACACAGCCAGCACTTACTGTTACACGTTGAGTTGACAGCACTCTGTCGATGGACCCGGCTGAGACTTCGTTGCCTTTAGCGACGGACTTCTTTGATGAGCGGGACAGAGGACGTGGTTGCTGGCCCTCCTTGGTTATTAGACTCTTCTGCCCGGGGAGAGGAGCTCCAGCCCCTATATATTGGACGAGCCGAGGGGTGACCTCTCCTACTTAAGTGGGTGTGTCTTGACCGGGTTGTTGGGTTGGGTAACAGGGGTGCTGGCTAGTTAGCAGGTCCTTGATCTCCCTTGGGTCAGGTCTGGACAGGTGTTTGCCCAGGTGAGGTCACGTCGCAGGACAATAGTGCTTTGTAATTATTACCGCCCGGGTGGGTCTTGGCCAGGTGTGGTTTCCTTAACATGGTTATATCGTATGGTTACGCAAGTACTTGGGCCGGGGTCAGGTCTTGACCTACGGTGTGTCAACCTGTGGTGTTAGGGTACCACGCAGTCTGTACTGTACTTGCTGTTATAAGAACGTAAGAACATAAGAATGGAGGAAACTGCAGCGGGCCTATTGGCCCATACTGGGCAGTCCCGTTTACACCCAACCCCTATTGCTCATATAAGCATCCAACCTATGTTTGAAGCTATTCAGCGTATTCGAGTTAATGATGATATTTGGTAACTTGTTCCATTCATCCACCACTCTATTTCCAAACCAGTGTTTACCTATTTCCCGCCTAAATCTAAATTTGTCTAATTTAAAACCATTGTTACAAGTTCGCTCCTGGTTGGATAGTCTGAGTACCTTTGTAATGTCCCCTTTGTTTAGCCCTGCCTTCCACTTGTACACCTCTATCAGGTCGCCCCTCGCTCTACGTCTCTCGAGGGAGTGCAAATTAAGATGCTTTAACCTGTCTCCATACTCAAGGTTCCTAATGCCCGGGATTAGTCTTGTCATTCTCCTCTGAATTCTTTCCAAGGATTCTATATCCATTCTGTAATACGGTGACCAGAACTGAACTGCATAATCCAGGTGTGGTCTCACAAGAGCAAGATACAGTTTTAGGATGACCTCGCTAGTCTTGTAACTAACACTCCTTTGTATGAACCCAAGTACTTTATTAGCCTTGTTACGAGCAAAAACACATTGTTTACTTGGCTTAAGGTTCCTACTTATCATTACTCCTAAATCTCTCTCGCAGTCGGATTTCTCTATGGCATCGTTGTTCATCTGGTATCTGGTTTCCCTGTTTCCATCTCCTATACTGAGTACTTTACATTTGTCCACGTTGAATTTCATCTGCCATTTTTCAGACCATTCGAAAAATTTGTTTAGATCTTCCTGTAGTTTTGCTGAGTCCTCGTCAGATTTAATAACACGTCCTATTTTAGTGTCATCAGCAAATTTACTTATGTTGCTGTCTATGCCGATATCTATGTCGTTTATGTATATAATAAATAATAATGGTCCAAGTACTGAGCCTTGGGGTACTCCACTTGTGACGTTGCTCCAATGGGACGTAGTGCCGTTAATGCTCACTCGCTGTTTCCTGTCCTGTAACCACGCCCTAATCCATTTAAGGATGTTACCTTTGATGCCATGAGCTTCTACCTTTCTAATTAGTCTTTCGTGGGGGACTCTGTCGAAGGCTTTGCTAAAGTAGAGATATACCACATCATAATTGTGCCCCTCGTCCACCTATTCGAAAACTGATGAAAAGAATGTTAATAGATTAGTTAGACAAGAACGTCCGCTTGTGAAGCCATGCTGGGAATCATTGATCAATGGGTGCTTCTCCAGGTGATTTCAAATAGAGTTTGAAATGATTGCTTCCAGTAATTTGCCTACTATTGACGTTAGACTGATTGGGCGGTAGTTAGAGGATAGTGATCTATCCCCCTTCTTGGAAATCGGTATTACATTCGCTATCCTCCAGGATTCTGGTACTACACCTGTTTTTAAGGACATGTTAAACAACTTTGCTAAGGGAATACTAAGCTCTTCCTTACATTCCTTTAATACTCTGGCAAAAATCTCATCAGGACCAGGTGACTTATTAGGCTTTAGTTTGTCAATTTGCTTACTAACATCGTTACTAGTCACTACTATCTCGCTTAATTTGTTTTCTTCACTATCTCTGAATAGAGTCGGTGCCTCGGGTATCATGTTTAAATTTTCGGTGGTGAAAACTGTTGAAAAATATTTATTCAAATTATTGCTCATTTCTCTTTCGTTATCAGTGAGCTCGCCGGCGTCTGACCGTATTGGTCCAATCTTTTCTCGTGTTTTAGTTTGATACATTTGGTAGAATCCTTTGGGGTTTGTCTTCGCCTCCCTTGCTATCCTTACCTCATTATTCCTCTTTGCTTTCCTTATCTCGGTTTTAACCCTACTCGCCAATACCCTATAATAGTCCCGGAGGTGAATTTCGCCACGATTTATCCTTCTACCTATAGCCTTCCTTTGGCCGATGATGTTCTTTAAATAATTATTTATCCATTTAGGGTCATTGTTGTCTGATCTGAGTTTTTTGTATGGTATATTCTGCCTTTGTGCATTAAGTAACTCACTATTTAAATTGATGTGGAACTCGGCAATCTCAGATCTCGTTATCAGGTCGGTGTCATCTGTCAGGTTCACGGCCAAGAGCGACACCCCCTCTGTCAGCTGCCTCTTTAAACTGTCAAAGTTCGCCCTTCTGAAATCTGGTACTTTAGTGGAATTTTCCTTACGTCTGCCCTGAAAATCTAACTGGAATCTAATTTCTTTGTGGTCGCTGTTTGCAAGTTCGTTCCCTACCTCGACACTGCTAATGAGATTTTCTCTGTTTGACAGAACTAAATCGAGTATATTATTACCCCGTGTGGGTTCGGTTATATGTTGACTTAGAAAACAGTCCTGGATCGTCTCGAGAAAATTCTCTGATTCTGAGTTACCTGTAAGGTCAGTCCAATCTATTTGGCCAAGGTTAAAGTCGCCTACTATACAGACTTTGTTGTGTATGGAAGCCTTGCGCATTTCATCCCAGATAAGTCGCTCATTGACTCTATCAAGATTGGGAGGTCTATATATTACTCCTGTGATTAATTTTTCCCTACCGTCGATTAATTCTATCCAAATTGTTTCTGTATTCCGCTCAGTTTTTATTTCCTTCACACTTCAGATTATCCCTAACATAGATTGCTACTCCGCCTCCTTTTCTGGTCTGCCTATCGGTATGGAACAGTTTGTAACCCGCAATTTGGTATTCGACTGGTAACTCACGTGTGTCTAGGTTGATCCATGTTTCAGTGAATGCTATTATATCGATTTTTTCGGTACATACCAAGGCCCTAATATCATCCATTTTGTTTCTCATACTTCTACTGTTCGCGTAGTATACATTTAAGTTAGTCGTGTTCTGAGTCCTCCCTTTACCGCGTTTAGTTTTAAACTCCCTGTCTAATTTAGTTTTGTCATCATTCCTAACACTATTTCCCTGTAATCTTTCACTTTGTTTACCCTCTCCCACTGCAGTCTCCTCCACCCCCGTGCTCATATGTTCCCCTAGCAGTTTAAAGACTTCGATATCTTTTGAACTGCCCCCTCTAGAGCTCCAGCCAGGGTTGCTACTCCATCCCTAGACAGGTGCACCCCATCCCTAGCATAAAGGTCCCTTCTGCCATAGAAGCTGTCCCAGTTGTCAATGAATGGGACTGATATTGACTTGCAATATCTGCCAAGACGGTCGTTGACACCAACTGCCCTTGACAACCATTCACTGCCAACTTTCCTTCTAGGCAGGACACAGCATATGATAGGGATCCCTCCCTTAGTCCTAATACGATCTATAGCTGCCTTGAACTTATCAAGAAGCTCCTCGCTCCTACACCGGCCAATATCATTGCCTCCTGCACTGAGGCAGATAATGGGTTTGTTCCCATTACCAGACAAGATATTGTCCATCCTGTCAATTATATCCCCCACCCCAGCTCCTGGCAAACATACCCTCATCCTATTTTTGTTTTTACCACAAAAGGGCCTGTCCATGTACCTTACCTGTGAGTCACCAACAATTAAAGTTTTTATACCTTCCTTGTCATCCCTGTCCCTGGCTGTACTAACGTCCAATTCGTCTATCAAGGGACTGAACGGGTTGGTACACTTAGCTGTTGTTGTCGTTGTTGTCGTATCCTTGGTGTACTTCTTCACCACCAGCTTCGTCTTCCCACTACTCACCACCTTCCACTGGCTTGAGTTTTCGTCAGACACTGGCTCTCCTTTTAATTTAGCCAGCTCTTCCTTTAATTTCAGGTTCTCCAACGTGGTCCTCTCAATTTCTTCCTTGGCCCTCGCCAATTGTTCCATGGACCACTCCAGTTTGGTCAACAAACTCACATACCCAAGACCACACATAGCACTGGCCATATCTGATAATTACCCCTCGGGAGCTAACCACAAGGAAAGAAGAAAACACGAAGTTCCCAAGCGCTTTCGTGTAATTCACATCTCCAGGGGTGAGTACAGACTGATGTGTGATGTATGATGTAATTCTGGGCTGTAAGCTCTGGTCTGATATTCAGTCATTACAGCTGATTATCTGGGTGGTTGATGTTCTGATTGGCTGACGGTCGAAGTGGTTGAAGATCTGAGTGATTGGTGCTCTGATTGGCTGAAGGTCTAAGTGGTTGATGGTATGAGGGGTTGATGATCTGATTGACTGACGGTCTAAGTGGTTGATGATTTGAGTGATTGGTGCTCTGATTGGCCGACGGTCTAAGTGGTTGACGATCTGAGTGATTGGTGTACTGAATGACTGGCGATCTGAGTGACTGACGATCTGGGTGTCTGACGGTCTCGGTGTCTGACGGTTTGAGTGGCTGACGACCTGAGTGACTGACGCTCTGACTGGCTGATGATCTGAATGGCTGACGCTCTGACTGGCTGACGTTCTGGGTGGTTGACGGCAGACTGACAGACAGATAGGTAAACATGGATGGTTGAGTCCTCCCTTGATAACCTAGAGAGAGAGAGAGAGATATTCTAATAATTACAAATAAACTAACTTGAGAAGGAAGATATAGATAGATAGATAGATAGATAGATAGATAGATAGATAGATAGATAGATAGATAGATAGATAGATAGATAGATAGATAGATAGATAGACAAATAAAATCTCACCCCCTGAAAAGTCCTACACGAATGAACGACTTTCACCAAATCGATATTATTGACGAACCTCAAACCTGAAGTAAGACATTCTACCCCATCAACCCCCATCAACCAACTCCGCATCAACTCCTCGCAACTATGAACAGACGAAAGAGCCACCTAATTGCAACATTGTAATTGCAGATCCATCTTTTGTAACAGAAGTAGTGGAGTATTCTTAAATGATGGAGATTACAGGTAGAATAAAGGCGTACGAGACGATAGCTATAGTGAGTTATTGGATGGGAATATATCGTTAATTAACCTACTCTAATGCTTGAGGAGGCGTTTTACCTGTCGCGTCCGTCCCTACCGACATACTGGCGATATCCTGTATGTTGATTGTATGTTGTGTATGTTGCTGGTGTATTGTGTATGTTGCTCCTGTACTGTATGTTGCCAATATACTGTACGTTTTCGATATACAGGTTGACAATCCCTTATCCGAAATCCTTGGGGCCAGAGGCATTTCGGTTTTCGGAATTTTTCGGTTTTCAGAATGGTTAGGGTTTTTTTTGTGTGTGTGTATTAGCCCACCCGGGCATAGATCACTGACCCACATTGGGGCCTGGGGGTCTAAAATATAATAAAAATTATAATAATAATAATAATAATTCATAGGTCTAGGTCGTGTTTCTCACTTTTGATCTTTTATTCATTCTTGTATTTCTTTACTGTATTATTATTTTATTATTACAGTATTATTGTTATTTTTATCATTATTAATTTTATTATATATTTTATTATTATTATTATTATTATTATTATTATTATTATTATTATTATTATTATTATTATTATTATCATTATTAATTTTATTATTATATTTTATTATTATTATTATTATTATTATTATTATTATTATTATTATTATTATTATTATTATTATTATTATTGTAATCATTATTATTTTATTTTGGCGTATAATTATTAAAAATTTTATTTACTATGAATAATTATTATTATAATTATTATAACTATTATATTTTTGCCCCCCAGGCCCCGATGTGGGTCAGTGATCTGTGCCTGGCTGGGCTAATAATCCCTGTTAAAAAAAATAAATAAAATAAAAAAAAAGTCCCACAAAAAACTTTCGGTTTTTAGAGCTTTTCGGTTTTCGGAATTTTGAATAAAGGGTTGTCAACCTGTACTCTATTTTGCCGATATGCTGTATGTTGCCGATTTACTCTATGTTGCCGATATACTGTAGGTTGCCGATATATTGTTTGTTGCCGATATGCTCTATGTTGTCGATATACTCTACATTACCGATACACTGTAGGTCACCGATATACTCTATAGCAAGAAAAGAAGACTGAAGGGTAAGATTTAGATAAAAGAAGAAAGATAACTGAGAGAAAGGAGGGGAGGATAAGAAAGAAATGAAAAGGGGAAGGTGGAGGTGAAGGGGGAAAGAGGGGGAGGTGGAGGGGGAAAAAGGGGGAGGTGGAGGGGGAAAAGGTGGAGGTGGAGGGGGAAAAAGGGGGAGGTGGAGGGGGAAAAGGGGGAGGTGGAGGGAGAAAAGAGGGGGAGGTGGAGGTGATGGGGAAAGAAAGGGGGAAGTGGATGGCCAGAACAGTGTTGATCAATATACAAGCCACCTGGTGGATGACATGGACAACTTCTCCCCTCCCTTCCCCCTCCCCTGTGAGATATGGCCTCCCCTCACACCGCTAATACGCTGTAGATGCCAGTCTCCTTTGTCCTCTAAAAGGGTTACGCCTCCCAACCACCGCTGACTTCCTAGGTTTGCCAAGCAGTCCTCGGCCCTCTGACGTAGGCATATAAGTCGAGCCCTGTAACTCCACCATGTCTGAGTTCAGTCCAGGAACAAGCGGAAGGCCGAAAAGGCAGAAAGACTTAGAGACAATCAACTACAACCACAACCCCCCCATGAGAGTAAGATTATACTTCCCTGAAGGTACATCACCTGAAGACAAGTATCTCTGGCTGAACGATGCGGAAGACAAATACCCTGAGGCTGAGTTTCAGTTCAGAGTCGGTACACAAGATCATGTTCTGATTAGAAACGACCCAGCAGTCATACAGGATCTCCTCACCAATAGCATAAGGGGAATAACCATGGAACAATCATCCTAACCATCGAGCAAGAAAACCATCTTAATCATAGGGCTCGACCAGTACCAGACCCCTACACTACTAGAAGCCCATCCCTACATCAGAAGGACGAAGCGACTCAGGGGCAAGAATGCAGTCATTGCAGACTGGGTTGGCTCGGAAGACCCACCCAAGACCATTCGAGTCAGTGGTGCCTATCGGACTTTGAAGGTAACTCTCTATCAGCCCCCTAACCGGAGGTGTTACAACTGTCAGCACTGGGGCCATGTGGCCCGGTTATGCCCCTCGACTAAGCCGTGGTGTGGTCTCTGCTCAAGGCAACATGCAACACAGGTTTGCAGAGATACAGTTGCTCAAGGGGGTGTCATCCAACAGAAGTGTATTAACTGCAAAACAGTTGGAGTTCCTGTATGGCACCCTAACTGTTCTAGAGCTCCTAAACCCCTTCAGCGCCCAGACCCGCCACCCAGGCAGGTCTCAAGAAACACTAATGCTGCTAGGGTACTCCCTACGGCCAACCCCTGGCCCGCCCTCCCCACCAAAGCTCCAGGATCATCACCAGCAGTCATCGAAAGATCAGCATGGGGCAACACAGACGTACCGACACAACAGGTAGCTGCCAACACACTCCATGAACACGCACAACGTGAAGAGATCAATGATTTGAAAAATGAAATTAAAGAACTCAAAGCTCAGTTTACAGGTCAAACTGAAATGTTAAGGAGCCTCTGTGATACACTAAAGGAAAAAAACACCACCAACACAGTGCAGCAGCTACGGAAAAATTACAGTCAAACTGAAGACATTCAGATGTCAGTACCAGATGTGGAAACTCAAGACCCACCAGGAACTAGTGTCCACGCAGAGGAAAATAGTGATACTGGTAACAGTTCTACTGATGCCTCTGTGGACATGGTCAGTGAAGATGAACAAGCACAAACAGAAAATGGTGGTGATGTCGAGTGTAACCAAAGTGTGTTGTTGTCTGCCAATGAAATACAACAATTGTTGAGCCGTACATGCTCCAGAAATGTTTCAAAAAGGTTAACTGGCCTACTGCCTGCCGAAGGGACAGGCAGTGCAGAAAAGAACAGTATCATACAGTGCCTTTTGCTTCTTTCCAAATACATTTCATAATGGCCAGTGTTAATACCAGACAAAGTTCCAAATACATTTCATAATGGCCAGTGTTAATACCAGGCAAAGATACAGAGCGGTGAAGGTGATGAGTTGTGTTCAATGTTCTGGGTAATAAGTTCAATATACAGGAGCGAACACAAACACCTGTATAGTTTTGTAGGTTCGATTTACTGGATAAGAGATATGTACACAAAGGGAGTAGTGCTCTCCGACCTGTCTGCTTGTCAACTGCTCTATAGACGACGTATGGCAAGTGATACATTAGCAGCTTCCATACGTCGCCAGGCACATTAATTAAGCATGTGGGACATTGATAAATACATTGCCACACGCTACTAGCTAGGCTAAATAAATAATACATAAATGGAGCACATACATAATATACATAGCATAATATAAATACAGCATACAGAATATACATACACCTCCCTCCCCCCTATACGCTCATAGCAAAGTCTTGAGCGGACCTTTTCTTTTGGATCCGTTCTGAGCGTCGAGGGACTAGATCACTGGGAAGGGTATGGGACTCAACACTGGTGGCGGGGTCAGCAGAAGGCATTGTTACGGGGCGGAGAAAACGGCGGTTCCTCCACCACACACGACCACTGGGTAACCGCACCTGGTAGTCCCGTGACCTACCGAGACCCATGACTACGCCTACTTTGTCCCAACGTAGGGAGGTCGGGTCCTGAACACGGACTTGGGTGCCGACACTCAACCTGGGGAGAGAACGGGCGTGGTCGTTGTAGCGGGCGACGACGTCCTGAACACGTTCGGCGGCTCGGCGATCACAATCCTCTGTCTTGGCCTGCCATTCCTTGGAGAAGGATTGAGGGTGAGCAGGGACACAAGAACGAAGGGGGCGTCCATACAAAACCTGGGCAGGGGAGCGTCCGGTGTAGTTAGGTGTGTTGCGGAGTTCAAGAAGACCCCGGTCGAAGGCCTCGCAGTCAATGTTCCCAGAAGGGGCCACCTTAAGGATGAGGTGCTTCAGGGATTTGACAGCAGCCTCAGCGTGGCCGTTGGACTGCGGGTAATGGGGCGATGACAACACATGCCGGACTCCCCATCGGTCAAGGAACACAGCAAAGTCCCGGCTTGTGAACTGGGGCCCTCCGTCGGTTCGCAGGCGCACAGGAACGCCCACGTCACGGAAGTAGTGGCGGAACTTGCTGATGGTGGCGGCAGACGTCGTGTCATTACCGCACTTGATGACAACCGGCCAACCAGAGAGACGGTCGACGATAACAAGGAAGGACTTTCCTGACACAGAGAAAAAGTCGGCTGACACAGACTCAAAGGGGCGGGTGGGGTTGTCGTCACTCATGAAGGGTTCCTGCTGCTGGCTGGGTTGTAATACTTGGCAGGGCTCACACGCACGGACAACATTGGAGATGTCGGAGTTGATGCCGGGCCAGAACACAGTCTGTCGTGCACGTCGTTTGGTGGCTTCAGCTCCACGGTGACTGTCGTGAAGGCGAGCCAAGACGTGGGGACGTGATGCAGCAGGGACAACTACACGTGCTCCGTACAGAACAAGGTCTCCGTCGCAGTAGAGTTC